AGAGAGAAAGGAACAAAGGAGGAAGGGAGGGACGTAGGGAGGGAGGGTAGGATGGAAGAAGGGAGGCATGGAGGGAGGGAAGGTAGGAAGAAGGGAGGGAGGGAGGGGATGTATGAAGAAAGGAGGAGGCAAAGATGGAACAAGGGAGGGAGGGAGGGAGGGAGAGAGGGAGGGGGGGAGGGAAGGAAGAAGAGAGGGAGGGAGGAAGAAACAAATGAGCGAATGCCTGAATGGCCTAAATGATCAGTGCTATCCTGATACAGCTCTGTGCTCATGATGAAAATTAAAATTTAAAACCTTCATGCTCTCATTCTAGGGCACATGCAAAGTCAGGAAATAAACAGAAAAGAAAAGAGTCCTGCAAGAAAAAAAATAAAATAGAAGTTAAAAAATATATATATATATATATGTCCCTTTCTTTTGTAGGCTAATGCAACAAAAGGAACATTTTATGAACTTGCAAATGTCAAAAGGAAAGAAAGAAAGAAAAGAAAGAAAGAAAGAAAGAAAGAAAGAAAGAAAGAAAGAAAGAAAGAAAGAAAGAAAGAAAGAAAGAGAGAGAGAAAAAGTTGCTACCTTGTAAGTGAGTCAGAAAGCTCCTCCAGTTCCTCTCGTGCGTGATGCAATTTTCTGGCCAGGATTCGCTGGGACATAATTGATACATGCCGCTTCTTAACTTCACTCTACAATATCAAATGTGAAACCAAACTGACGTTAGTAAACTAATCAACACAACACTTAGACGTGCCACTCCAACGGCCTAGCTCAGTTGGTAGTACTTGGTACACCCGTGAACTGTTGAAATACAGACCCAAGTTCGAATCCAGATGCAATCATATGAACAGAATAAATTTCAAGAAAATGATTCTGAATTACTTGGACCGGTAATCTCAATGATGATACCTCAAGTCCGTCGGCCTTCTAAACAAACAACAACAAAAAAAAGAAGCACCACTCCACTCGCTACTTCAAGTTCCATGAAACAACGGACAAATCGATGTGACTCAAAATCACAGTGACAACCAGAGGGAGAGTCTTCCCTTGTCATGACCAGAAAAGAAATGTTCATTCTGTGATCTTGTTTTGAAAACGGGGACACAGATTGTTGTCCTTCTCTTTCTCCTCCTCCTTCGCGTCCGTCTCTCCCCTTTCCTCCTCTTCCTCCCCCTCTTCTTCCTCCTGTTCCTCCTCCTCCTCCTCCTCCTCCATCACCACCCCCTCCTCAGCAGCACATCCATAATGAGGAGATATCTCTGAGACAAAATCAGGAATTTGGGGACCTAGTTTATCTCTGCCCTCACAGCACTCGTCTGGCCTTGGAACGAATATCAATTTCCGAACAAATTGTACCCCACTGTACCCCAGTCACAACCCCACCTAAAATGAAAGCTTCCTTTCGAGTCGTTTTGACACATGCTAAAACAGCAGTCTCGTCCTTCGTGACATCTGTTAAAACTGGAATGATACAGAGTAGATTAGCATGGCCCCAGCACGAGGATGACACACATAAATCGAGAAATGGTCCAATGCTCCAACCCTAAAAAAAAAAGAAAAAAAGAAAAAACAAGTAGCCTCCAAAATTAGAGCAACAAGTGAAGAGACTCTTTTCAACCACCTTGCTTCACCAATCCTTTGAGTTTTCTTTTGCCCTTAATTTTTAAATTACTCCTCCCTCGTCTCTCTCCCCCTTTCTTCCTGCTTCCTTCCTCCTTCCTTCCTCTTTCCTTCCTCGTTCCTTCCCGTTCCTTCTTCTTTCCTTCAACTTTAGACTTCCGTCCTTCCTCGTCCTGTCTAATCCGAAGCCCAGGTTCACATGTTGGCCACGGGTGCAACTGAACTGACAAATCATTTCGCATGATGGCCCAGGTTCACATGGTGACACTCGCATACGTGAAATGTGCCATGACAATCCCCAGCAAGCATGTAATGCAGGAGAATGTTTCTGTTGCATCTGTGATTTTGTGGTCAACAGCAAAATTCATTACCGTGCTGGAGTTGCATGCCTACCTTCAAGGCTTCAGTCATTCGCTCAATTGTCGCCTTCATCTGCACCAAATCTGACTCCAGACGAGCAACTCTCTCTTCTGCAAGAATTTGCTGTTTTTGCCTCCATTGTTGCTCTCTCTCGAAGTTGCTGTATACTCTCTGCAGCTGCCGCCCGTGACTGACTAAGAGGAGAATTCCAGAACATCATGCACACATGGTTGTTCAAACTTAAAATCTAGAGTCCTTTTCTTTTTTTTCCTTTTCTTGTTCGCAATGTCTTTCCTTTTCTCGTTGTAAAGCTGAATGCCATAGAGGGCTGGAATCATCAATGGAATGATTTTTCCTTTTATCAATTTCAAATTTGTGACCTCTCGCTCTCTCTCTCTCTCTGTGTGTGTGTGTGTGTGTGTGTGTGTGTGTGTGTGTGTGTGTGTGTGTGTGTGTGTGTGTGTGCGNTCTCTGTGTGTGTGTGTGTGTGTGTGTGTGTGTGTGTGTGTGTGTGTGTGTGTGTGTGTGTGTGTGTGCGCGTGTGCTTGACTTCTGATGCGAGGTTTGGGGGGTGTGCCATCTGCCAGCCACCAGTGCTTTGAGCCTCACTGATCGACACCATGAGCACACACACACACACATTGAGAGACCACACAAAATCCACACTGGAGTCCAGAGATGCGAAGTCCAGATACGCGCAGCTTAGAAATTCCAACAAATTATCACATTAAACAGTTTCGGAGAACCAGTCACCAAGCGCTCAACCGCGCAGAGTTCAGCAACCCAATACCAGCACCCTCATCTAAGGTAGGTGACTCTCTTCTCTCCCTGGCTCTGTCTCTCTCTCTCTCTCTCTCTCTCTCTCTCTCTCTCCCTCCTGGTCTTCTTCATCCATGCGCTCTCTCCCCCTCTCTCTACTTGAGAATCTTAACTCTGAATACATCCGTTACTACTCAGCTCTACCTCCTATCACTAGCTATGTGGCTATGGCCGCCTTCCCTCTCAGTGCAGCGCTTCCCAGCAGGGCTCTCTCGCGCATGCTACTTGCAGATAGCACACAAGCGCTTCACCAGCACTTCCACACTTCTCACGAATGAGAAATCTGCTTAAAATGTGTCTGGCCAGTCCTTATATTGACTTGGACTGAGCTTCAGCTTGTCCCAGCCTCTGCTTCTTCTGGTTTGTGTTGGTACTGGTACCACATGCCCACAGACTGTTTGCTTCAGAATGTCAAGGCCTGGTACTTTTCCGAATTTTCATCGGTGTGTTGCTGCTTGGGCCTGTGAGTCACGACTTTTCACCTGTGGAACATGACTTTTGACTGTGGAATGTGACTCTTGCCTTTGGGACACAACTTTTGCCTGGGGAAGTGTCCTTTGCCTGTGGGATATGACTTTTTCAATATGGTTTTTCAATATGAGACGTGACTTTTGCTTATAGGATGCAACCCTTGCCTCTGGGATGTGAGTGTTCACTGGGTGACCTTTCTGAACTGGCCGACTGAGCCTTCCTTGGCTTGAGACCTAGACCCTGAAATTTGAATTTGGGGTCTGCATCGTGGAATGCCTTTCATCAGCCTTCGGTTTTGGACCAGTTCACCTTCATTTCTAATCAACTCGGAAGGCTTCCATGGCTCTGACGAGGGCCTGGAAGGGGGAGTTATTGGCCCAGATGAGAACTGTAAGATCGTCAGCCAACATCAATGCAGTGGGCAGAGCAAAGTCATGTAGGGGGTTGTAATTCTGTTCAGTGAGGCGGTTTATGGAGGGGTCCTTGCGAAGGAAAGAAGCTATGGCTTCCATGATGGAAAGGAAGATGGGGGGGGAGCAGTGGGTCTCCTTGGGAGAGGTGTCTGACAATATTCTGTTTCAGTGGCGTCTCCATAAAAGAGTTCTGACCCATTCCCTGAAATTCGGGCCAACTCCCATCTTCTCCATGCAGTTATGGAGGAAATCCCAATTAACTTGGTCATAGGCTTTTTCAAAGTCGAAGAACAGGATAGCAGCCTGCATACGTTTTTCTGTTATCTTCTTTGCTGCCTCGTTCAAGGTCATCACGTTGTATGTATCTCCCGGGGATGAACCCTGCTTGATCAATGTGAAAGCTTTTATCCGTGAGTTTTATGATCCTATTGGCTAGTGTTTTCACAAGGATTTTATAGGGAGTTGTGAGTAGTGAGATTGTCTGTAGTCCTTTAGGTCTTCTTTGTCACCTTTCTTGTGGAGTAGTGAGACTACACTTGTGCTCAGGAATTGGCCCGACCCACCCTTTGCCTTGCTGTTGTTGAAAAAGTTGAGGAGGTCACCACCCAATGTCGGCCAAAAATGGAACCAGAATTCTTTGGAGAGACCATCGATTCTTGGGGCCTTCTCGTTCCCTATCTGGGAAAGAGCTGATTGGAGCTCGCCCAAGGTGATTGGTTTGTCCAGGTCTTCCATTTGCTCCTGTGTGATCGTCCTGTCCAGGTACGACAACATATGTTGAGCCTTTCTTAATTTAGTCATACAAGCCTTTCGGATAAGCTTGTTGCGGTTTCCAAACCGTAAAAGATTTTTGATTTGCTTACTACAATAGATGTAGCCTTTAGCCTCATTATCTTTAAAAATCTCAGTTTCCTTACCTAAAAATGACTCTAATTGAACAATACACGAGAGTATGTACTTCAGTTTCTTGATTTTCAAAGTATCCTTCTTGAACTGAAAAATCTCTTTTTTCTGGCTCTAGCAAAAGTGGTAGGATTTCCAGAACTTTTGGATCAATTTCTCGTCCTTTCATTTGCAGGACTTTGGTTATTTTGAACATATCATATATATATATGAAAGAAAATAGATATATATATTATGCTATTCGTATTATTGAAGTTGAATTAGAGACCTATATAAGTACCTCTGACTGTCAGATTTGTTGTGGAGGGGGGGGAAGGTGTTTTGGACTCGTATAGATCTGCGTAGAAGGACCTGGCAATCTTTACCATGTCCCTGCCGGCTGATTTTACCCTCCCTCGGTTTGATGGATCTTTCAGCCTTTCAATCATGCTGTTTCTAGCGCCGACCGTAATTTTGGAGAAGAAGAACTTGGTCATTGATTCGTTGAGAGTGTAATCCGTCATCTTGGCTCGTATTTGCAGGCCTCTCAGTTCCCACCTTCTCCACTCGTTGAGTTCCTCCCTGGAGGATCTTAGCAGGTTGTGGCAGGATTCATTAGTATAGTCTGATACGAGGTTAGCTTGGGCGACTATTATGGTAGTCTGAAGTTCCTCTTTTCTGATTTTACATTCCGCCGTTATGCTCCTAGAGTTCGGCAGAAACTGTTTGAACCAGGTTATCGTAGCTGTCTATGAACCATTGGTGATTATCCTGTGGTCTCGCTTCGACTTGTCGCATGAACAACCAATGCCATTTGACTGCCTTTGTTAGGCAGTGTGTAGACAGGAGTGAATTGTTCAGTCTATAAAAGCCCTGGCTCTTTTCTACAGGGGAGTCGAAATTAAGGAGCAAGTAGATTGGTTTGTGGTCCAGTCCCCTAAAAGCGGCTGCTGGCAGAATTTCGGCCTCCTTGACTGTGCCTTGGAGGAGCTCGGAAATCAGAAAGAAGTCGATCCGCGAGAGCGAGGTGTGATTGGCCCGATTTCTCTTAACCAGAGAGAAGGCTTTTGCCAAGGATGGAGGATTCTAAAGGGGTCGACCAGTTCGAATTCCATCATGAAGTTCCTTACATGGGTTCCTGCACTTGTGGGGCCAATCAGTAGGGTCCGAGAGATACGGTTGAGATTGGGGTCCAGGATCGTGTTCCAATCCCCTGCTATAATTATGGATAGGGGGTTTGGGACGACCACTTTAATGCTGTTGAAGAATGCCAAACGTTCAGTTTCTGAGTTAGGTGCATACATGTTCAGAATTCGCAGGTCCTCTTCTTGCCATCTGATGTCGATCCAAGACCATCTGCCCTCTTTCCTATCTCCTTCTCCACGCACGATCAGACCATTTATCAAAATTTTGAAGGTGCGAGATGTAAGGAATCTAAGGATAGCTGGCTGGTGATTTCTAAATTTTAAGTGTAAAGCAGATTTTTTATCTTACCAGCAGAGTTCTCAAGGAAAATTACATCAGATTGAGGGCCATGTATGTGCACCCCTCCGAAGGCTATCGCCCGCACGCCATCATATGATAAAGTGTGCATTGATCGGCCATCTACCCCACTATTTGGGATTCCGAAATTGGTTTTCATGACGTCTGGTTCCTCCATTTCCATTCTCTTGCTGATGTCCCACCTTCTCCACAACCTCCTCTCTGTGTCATAGGTGTAGGCATCATCCAAATAATTCTCTCCATCAAATCCACCATAGATCATCAAATGGCTGCCAATCGTAACCATTGCATGGTACCGTCTTGGGGACGGAACCTCACCCCCGGTAGGTGGCTGGGACCAGACAAAGTCCCTTCCTTCAACAGATAGCACGTGCAAATCCCTCATATGCCTGTAGCCATCAAACCCCCCAAAGACATACATACACTTCCCCACAATCGCCACGGAATGCCCCCTTCTTGCACTAGGAGGGCTGCCGATTACCTCTGGACATGTCCATGTCATCCATTCGAGATCAAGAATCCAGAGCTCATTCAGATGCCCGAAGGGTGACCTGTAGCCTCCAAAAACGGCAACACTGTGTCCGTCTGACAAGAGGCACATGCAGTGCCCTGACACAGGCCCAGGTTGCAGACCCTTTCTGGGGAGGGGCTGGGACCATTCACAAGTTTCTGCAGGGCCCAAGCAAAAAACGATTCCACAAACAGACAAAGACAGACAAGTCTGTTCAGAATCTTAATTTAAGAAAATCAAGATACACAACTCCCAAGTTCCTCACACCATATTTCTGTCACGGCTAATTCAAGACTGCATGCACAGCGTCCTTCTTTGGACATCCGTTAAAATTGGAACGATGCACAGAAGAAGATTAGAATGGCCTTTGTGCGTCGATGACACACAAATCGAGCGGGGAAAAAAAACAAACAACAGCATGCACAGCACAGGGAACACGTTACAATCTGCCTGGTGGTCAGCAACAGACATTCAGGCTGTGGACATCCGCACAGAATAGCTTCATGAGATGTTATCTACTCATTCACCGTGAGATCGCCGACGTGGCGATCGCTCTGCGTCAATCTTCGATCATTGTCTTTTTCTATGCAGGCAGTAACCATTGGAGTTCTTTCAGTGTATGACATCTGCGAGTCATAAGCTTACAGAGTGCTTTTTAAAAATAAAATAATAATAATAATGTGAGGCTCAAGGCCTCGATCTGCCCTACTGGGCCCTATTTTCTGAACAGTCGGCCGCCCTAAGTGAAGGCAGGCTCGACCCAGGGCCTACAGGCCTATTTTTGGGGTCACCACGCAACTTGGTAAATTCAGGCAGTTGTGCACCGCCAGTTGGTTGAGAGTGCCCAGGCCCAGGCTGCCTCTTTCGAATGTAACCGAGGCAGGCCCTGGGCCAGATCCGCAACATGGACCGAACACAGGCCGTGGGCAGTTGGACAAGGAGAACCACCACAGGCCCAGGACCTGATTCGTTTGGACTGGGGCTCAGCCTCTCTGGGCCTACCGGAAGCTTCTGGGCAGGGGCCCAGCGCAGCCAGGCTGCACGCAAGCAGGTAGGCCACTTCCATTTAGGAAAGTGCCGGCCCACGCATTCGGCATTCGGGCACTGGCTGCATGTTGCGCAAGCGCTGCTTCGCTAACGCTGGCCAGCGCTCACGCGCTCACGGGCGAGCTGGATAAGCAGGCAGCCATAGCCGAGCTGCGCTGCTGTATGCTGGATGGGGCACATGGTGGTCTTTGGGTGCACGTGGCATCTGTGAGTGGGGGATCGAGGTTGTGAGTGACACGAGAGACATACCTGGTGCTTGAGGCGAACGGCATTGGCCGAGATCTGCTCGTACTTTGGGGAGCTGTTGACGTCACCAGTGGCATTGTAGATAGACTAGATAGGATCTGCCATTTGTAGTCCGGGCGCAGAGCGCCAGATAGGATGTCGACATTGGTTCTTTGTTGTTGATGACGAGACTATTCGAACATTGTCACTTATGAGCTTTTGCTGTGCCCTTATTTCGTGGGACTCGTGATGCAATTCTGCTTTTGGTTCGAGGTCACGACTATCTGGTCTCATGTGTATGATGCTGCTTGGTTTCTGAAGTTCGCTATCACTCATTTTCCTTGCAATTTGGTATCAGAGCTGTGGTATGGTGCGTTCATATGGCACTTGTCTTCTGCCTAAGCGGTACATGCACTTGGTCTGCTGAGCGAGCGGCTGTGGGAGGTGTGTAGTGAGGAGGGCGAAGGCAAGTAGGGTGACCCAGGAGGTGAGGGGTATCGCCAGGAAGGCTACGTGGTGAATATTGGGTGTTCGCAGTGTGATGAGAACTATCTGATGTGCGATTGATGCTGAGGTGGAACGGCGGTGTAATGGTGGTTGTGCCGAAGCAGCGATTGGTCATCACAATCGGCATCAGGTCATTTGGTGAGAATATCTGTGGTTGGGGGCAGCTATTTTTAGGTACGTTGCATCTAACCTTATCTACCCTCTTCGACACTTCTTACCGTGAGGATGTGTGTTCTGTCTTGAGAGTCCTCTCATGTGAGGAGTCGAGTGCGCTCAACCTTGAGAGTTGTCAGTGTTCACGTGGAGCATCTGGAAGAAGAGGGCGGAGCTATCTGAAGGGCCCTGGACGAAGCACTGGGTCACGGTCACCATGCCAACCCACCGGGAGTAGAGCACACATGCTTTGCTGCTTTGTCCTTTGTCTGCCTGCTGCGCTTATAGATGGGCTGTGAGGGGCAGGCCAGCCCTACAAGGGAGACGAGTACCGGGCGTCTATAAATAAACACCGGCGGGGCACCTTCCATTGGCTGTGATCGTCGTCCTGTCTGCAACGTTAAAGAATTCCTGAGGACTACGGGGGTCGTCCTTAAACGCCTCCTGATCAGCCAATCGGTCGGTTTAAGGCTCGCTGCACGCGAGGATAAATAATGTGCAGGGCTGGCCAGCTCAGCATAACTCAGGGCACAGGGGTGGGTCGTGTGCACACCTTTAGACACGCACGCTGTCCGGATTGCTCAAGGACGCTGACGACAAGAGACGTTCAGGAAGAACTGAGGGAGGGGTAGATTCCAGGTGATAAGTTTGGGAAAGATTCCACTCTGCAAACGGCCAATCAAATGATTCTATTTTTTTTTATTTTTTATTAGTTAGATGTACAACCATTAACATCTGACAGACAACATAGTAAAAACTGTTCTCTGTTCATTGTGCTTTCTGTTTGTGAACCAGTCAAAGTAGAAATAGTTTCGTTTGTAGGAATCTGAACTTACCTGTTGGACCCAAATGTATAGCCTCTGACATAGCCACCGATTATTGTAAATCGGTCTGTACATCATGCTGCAGTAGGCATCGAGAGTGTCCTAGTGCAGACAGTGTACAATGTTGTAGCCTATGAGTGACAGGGAGGTTCCAAAACTTGACGATAGGGTCTTGCAATTGGCAAGACGCCCGATAGCCCACTTGGCATTAGGACCAGAGGGCGCCAGACACCTGTTCCGCCAGCAGAGGGAGAGACAGCAGCAGCATCGGGGGGCTAGGGCCGCAGAGGCAAGCAGGGAATTCGCGAGCGAGGCCGCTACTTCAGCAGCCATGGCATCTGCTGCGCAGCAGCTCTCTCACGCTAGTAGTTAAGGAACTGTAGGGTCAACGGTCGCACAGACCCTGAGTCAGTTCACTAGCGTTATGGCAAGCCAAGCGATAGTATTGACCCTCGAGGAGGTCGCCATACAGCGAGCAGCTATTCGCGAGGCACAGCTACAACAGGCGTTAGGAGAGATCAAGGCAGAGAAGGAGAAAATGATTAGAAGAAGAGTCAGGATACAGCGGAGACAAGCAGACGTTAGTGAGTTAGAGGAGATGGATTTGACGCACATGGATGATAATGTGAGGACCCTACAGACCGTCCTGCTAGATGTAGTAGAAATGCAGGACCACCAAACGGCTCTCTTACAGGACATCCAACAGAGCCTAGCCGTGCTGGTCGGGCGAGCTTGGGGCCTGGTGCCTGGCCTGTGGTACAACCTCCTCCTTTTGTCCCAAGCCGCTTCCCTAGGTATGCCATTGACAGGAGGGTTCTCAGCAGGTCCAAGTGTACAGATTCGTGTACAGACAGTGTATACCCAACCTTCATCGCAGGTTGCCGTAACCGGGCAGCAAGTTGTCCCGTAGCTTGCATAGCCGCAGGGTATACATCCCCAGCAGCAGCTAGTGCAGCAGCCTGGTCCCCAACGTCCACAATCTGGAGTGGGACAGGTACCGGGACAAAGCCAGTGGGTTCCGAAGACGGCCATCGCCTCCCCCAAACCCTTTACAAGGGACAAGAGGGGCGAAGACCTCAACACATGGTTGAGGCCAGTGCCAGTCTATGTCAAATGTAAATTGACCTTGCCGCACGAGGAAGTGTTTGTGGCCGCCTCCTATTTAGAGGGGAGTGCGACAATATGGTTGAGTGGTTTCGTGCAGCTACAAGGATACGGTCATGACTTCCGCGCTTGGGCAGTTAACCAAAAACTGGAGGACTTCCTTAAGCTGGTGGAAGATAGGTGGCACGATCCTCAGGAGGCTCAAAAGGCCACTGACGCGATCCTGACTTTGAACAACAGGCAGTTCAAGTCAGTTAGGGAAGCCACAGACGTAGTAGAGCGTCTGATCTGTGTTCCTGGAGTACGCTATGACCCCCAGGTCTTACTCACTGCATACCTTAAATGTTTTCCTTCGCCTCTCAGGAATCAGTTGGCAGGTGAGGCCAACATCAATACGCACAACTTTCCCTCGTTCAGCAAGAAGGCCCTAGACTTAAAGGCAAAGATAGGGCATGGACATACACCCACGACGGACGGAAGGAAGAAGGCACTGCCTCCCAACTGGAAGGCGAAGGGTCGCATAATGTTCCTCGACAACGATGGTTCTACCATCGAGTTAGAAGACGACTTCCAGGCGGGACTAGGTTCAGAGGCGGGCAGCGTAGAAGTTTCAGGGGGTGGAACAGTCACTGCCTCTGTCCAGAAAGGTAAGGCGACCGGTAGACGCCATGGAGGTTCCCGGTCTAGGAGTCAAGTTGACCCCAACGCTCCTCCATGGGAGAAAGCGGGTCTCATAGAGGACGTGTGGAGAGACCGGTATACCAGGCAGGCCTGTATTCATTGTGATCAATATGGCCATAACCAGTTCAAGTGCCGCAACAAGAAAGTGACCGAGAAGATCCCGCCTACGATGGGCCAGGCGTTGGGATCCTCCGCTCCCGTAGGTAGCAATGTGGCCAGCAGTTCTGGCACTGCTCCGGGAAACACGTCGGTCCAGTAGGAATAGTAGTTGTTCCTGCCAGGGTCGAGGTGGTGGACACACCCTCACCATCTCGAGAGATGGCCCACGCTACTGACTCCATCGTCGTCCCGCAAACACATTCGGACCCAGCGATCCTCTGTTCGCTGAATGTGTTCGAGTCCTTAGAGGAGCTAAAGGAAGAGTGGTCTAGATCGGACCCGCTAGCTTCTTGGACGACCATGGCCAAAGCCCCTAAGGGTGAGTTGTTCGTCGTCGAGGTAGTCATCGGCGGTCATAAGGCCGGGGCCTATCAGGACACTTGCTCGACGTGGAACTCCATCAGTCGCGCGTGCGTTGAGAGGCTGCGCTTACAGGGGCAAGTGCAGCACCTGAGTCAACCTGTGGAGTCGACCTGTGCCAACAAACAGCGCATGGTAGTCAACAACTACCTCAGAGGATGTGCATTGACTATAGGGGCCTCAATGCCGTCACTGTGAAGAACGCAGAGCCCCTATCACGCATCGATGACTTGTTGGACAGAGTGCAAGGGCGCCGGTACTTCAGTAAGATAGATCTGAATTTCGGGTACCATCAGATTGCAATCCGGCCTGAGGATCAACACAAAACCGCTTTTCAGACCAAGTACGGTCTGTACGAGTTTGTGGTGATGCCTTTCGGCCTTTGCAATGCTCCTGGCACCTTTCAGCACGCCATGAACAGGAACTTTCATGACTACTTGGATAAGTTTGTCATCGTGTACCCCAATGACATACTTATTTTCAGTAGGACTGTCGAGGAGCACGTTGGCCATTTAGACAAAGTCCTTAGCCTCCTTCGACCGGACCAGTTCAAGATTAACGGGGAGAAGTGTGAGTTTGGCCGCACCCGGATCTTGTACTTGGGTCATGAGTTTTCCACGGAGGGATTGAAGCCCAATAACGCGAAGGTGGCCAGCATTCGTGACTGGCTGCGCCCTCAGTCTGTGACTGCGATGAGGTCCTTCTTAGGGATGACCGACTACTACCGCAATTTTGTCAAGAACTATAGCATAGTGGGAGTGGACTTGGGCTGCGCCCTCAGTCTGTGGCTGCGCCCCTTTGACGGATCTGACACGCCTTGACACCCCATGGGAGTGGACAGAGGTGTGAGGCTGCTTTCAACCATCTGAAGCATGCCCTCACTAACCATGAGGTCTTGAAACTGCCCGATCCTAACAAGCCGTTTATAGTAACCACGGATGCCAGCCACTATGGCATTGGTGTCGTGCTTGTGCAGCAGGAGGGGAAAAAGTTAAGGCCCGTAGAGTACATGCCCAAAAAGATGCCCTCTCAGAAGTTGGGTAAGTCCACCTATGAGAAGGAACTTTATGCCATTTACAAAGCGTTGACTCACTTGAGGCATTACCTCCTTGGTAGCTTCTTCTACGTCAGGACTGATCATCAGACCCTGAGGTGGATGAAGACTCAACCGGTATTCTCTGATGCTCTGAAGCATTGGATTGAAGTCATAGAGCAGTATGACTTCGAACCCCAGTACATTAAGGGGGAGTACAACAAGGTTGCTGATGCGCTATCGCGTAGGCCAGACTTCCTCGGTGCGCTGATCACTGAGTTTTGGCTTGCGGACGATGTTACTCAATTTTCAGTGGAAGCCTATCGCGAGGACCCGTTCATGTCAGAGATCATACGCAGACTCGAGGTGAAGGATAAAGCTACGTCTCAAGAGTTTGAGTTGATCAATGGCCTGCTGTTCCTTGAGAAGGCCGGGAATAAACGTTTGTATGCTCCACACCGGGAGTCTTTGCGTAGTTTATTTTTAGACGAGTGTCATGACGCCACCGGACATTTTGGGACTAGGAAGATTGCAACGAATTTGTTGCAGCGGTTCTGGTGGCCCACAATGATGAGAGATGCGAAGCTGTACATGGAGATTTGTCAGGTGTGTCAGAGAGACAAGCCACGTACACAGGCCCCTCTTGGGCTTCTTAAGCCCCTTCCGATTCCGGAAAGGCCCGGTGAGAGCCTGTTTATGGATTTCATGGACACGGTGGTCACCAGCAAGAGCGGAATGAGATACGTCTATGCCATTGTGGATAGGTTTAGCAAGTATGCTAGGCTAGTCACAATGCCTGCTACAGCCAAGACTAAGTATGTGATCAAGCTGTTTAAAGAGAACTGGGCCAGAGACTTTGGGCTTCCAAAGTCCATTTCAAGTGACCGGGATGTCCGATTCACTAGCGAGTTGTGGAAGGCTGCAGCTGCAGAACAAGGAACACAGCTGCAGATGACTTATGGGAACCACCCAGAGGCAAATGGGCAAGCGGAGCAGCTGAACCGCGTTGTACAACACCTGTTGAGGCATTACATAAAGCCCAACCAGGTGGACTGGGATGAGAAACTTGCTCTCATCTCCAGCCTGTACAACAATGTTGTGCACAGCGCAACAGGGGTGAGTCCTAACAGCCTGCTACTGACTTTTAAGCCTAGACTGCCTCTAGACTTCCTAATACCTGAGAATCAGCCGACAGCTGCACCTGGAACGTTAGAATTTGCATATCGATATGAGCAGTTGATGCAGCAATCGGTAGAACAGATGCACAAAGCCCAGGCGGCGATGATAGAGTCTGAGAACAAGCACCGTCGCCCATCTACATTTCAGGTAGGGGACAGAGTCTGGGTCAAATCCTCAGAACTTGGACAGGAGCACGGGATATCCCGCAAGCTCATGCCACAGTACTTTGGACCTTGGGAGGTTCTTGATATTGTCGGAGAGGATCCGGATGGGCCATCATATGTAATTCGGATCCCTGGTCATCTTCGCACTTACCCTGTCTTCCACGCCTCGAAGCATGCACCATCTGAGGAAACTGATCAGTTTCCCTCGCGACGCTCGATGCTGCCCCCAACCATGGATGGAGAGGTCGACATCGATGATATCGTGGACCACAGAGAAATGCCGGTTCCAAGACCGACAGGCAGGGGACGTCCTCCGAAGCCGAAGCTGCAATACCGAGTTCGGTTCAGACATCACACTGATCCAAAGGAGGACAGATGGTTCACTCGAGAGGAACTGATGCAGACCGCTCCACAGGCTGTTGCTCATTATGAGAAGTCACTGCAGAAAGGAAAGCGCCAGATTGAGTAATCAAACTTCTCAGAGGACTGTCGAAGTATGGAGGAGGGAATGCGAGGCTCAAGGCCTCGATCTGCCCTACTGGGCCCTATTTTCTGWACAGTCGGCCGCCCTAAGTGAAGGCAGGCTCGACCCAGGGCCTACAGGCCTATTTTTGGGGTCACCACGCAACTTGGTAAATTCAGGCAGTTGTGCAGCGCCAGTTGGTTCAGAGTGCCCAGGCCCAGGCTGCCTCTTTCGAATGTAACCGAGGCAGGCCCTGGGCCAGATCCGCAACATGGACCGAACACAGGCCGTGGGCAGTTGGACACGGGCAACCACCACAGGCCCAGGGCCTGATTCGTTTGGACTGGGGCTCAGCCTCTCTGGGCCTACAGGAAGCTTCTGGGCAGGGGCCCAGCACATCCAGGCTGCACGCAAGCAGGCAGGCCACTGCCATTTAGGAAAGTGCCGGCCCACACATTCGGCATCCGGGCACCGGCTACATATTGCGCAAGCACTGCTTCGCTAACGCTGGCCAGTGCTCACGCGCTCATGGGCGAGCTGGATGAGCAGGCAGCAATAGCCGAGCTGCACTGCTGTATGCTGGATGGGGCGCATGGTGGTCTTTGGGTGCAAGTGGCCTCTCTGAACGGGGGATCGAGGTTGAGTGATACGAGAGACATACCTGGTGCTTGAGGCGAATGGCATTGGCCGAGATCTGCTCGTACTTCGGGGAGCTGTTGACGTCACCAGCGGCATTGTAGATAGGCTAGATAGGATCTGCCATTTGTAGTCTGGGCACAGAGCGCCAGATAGGATGTCGACATTGGTTCTTTGTTGATAATGAGGAGACTATTCGAACATTGTCACTTATGAGCTTTTGCTGTGCTCTTATTTGGTGGGACTCATGATGCAATTCTGCTTTTGGTTCAAGGTCACGACTATCTGGTCTCATGTGTATGATGCTGCTTGGTTTCTGAAGTTCGCTATCGCTCATTTTCCTTGCAATAATAATAATAATAATTAAATAATAATAATAATAATAATAATAATAATAATACAATAATAAATAAATAATCAAAAGACAGAACCTTAAGGTTCTGGCTCCTTGTCCATTCTGGGGAGTGTCAGTCCGGTTCCTTTTCCACCGTCAACTTCGTCAAGTCAAATATTAAGTATTTACATCACTGAGGCACTTATACGCTTCTCCCTTGCAGAGTGCTTGTTGACAATGGAAATAGCAAGAGACTACCGTCTCCACCGGAATAGAACACCCGGTCATTATCACTGCAACTAGACTGAAAGTTGTCCTATATACAGCTATAATGACCGGGCGTTCTGTTCGGGTGAAGACGGTAGTATCCTACAGTGGCCTCCAGATATCAAGAGACTGGAAGTTGGGAAGGAGGTCATTCTCCCCAAGTAACCATATCTATAAGGCTATAAGCATATTGGTGTTTGAGTGCCCCTTTTGCATACCCCCAACCACTCCCGAAGGAGTGGGTCTAGTGTGCCAGCACCCCACTGAGACCGTCACTGGAAATTGCTAGGCCTGTGGTGAGGGGGGGGGGGGGGCTGCACCATGCGTGTAAGGCCTGCTGTCGTGGCAAGTCTAAACTGGCAGTCAGACCCAGTTGGTGTTTCAGCGCGCTAGTTGAGAAGGGCAGGGTGTGGCAGGCGAGAGCACCCCAATTTGAGTCCATGGAAGGGCTGGGCCTACCATCCTAGAGCAAAGATTGGGAAAGGTCTGTTTTCAAACCCTGACCTCTCAGTCGCCCGTACAATACTGAGGCCAGTGGCATGGTGGCCACATATGGTTAATAGGTGCGACGGCTGATCACTTGGTGGATATACGAGAGTGACCCATCGGCTGATAATCCGGCAACGTTGCTGCCAGTTGAGTTCAGCAGCCTGCAGGGGTATCTAGATTCACCCAGTGGTTACCATAGCCGGAAGCTTGGTGCCAATGTGGTTGAAGGTGTATGGTGGTCTCTGGGCCGGCTCTCTCCTGTCGGGGATGAGGACTGCTGAGCTTATGTGGTGAGGAGATGGCTGGCACCACACTTATCAAGGTCAGCATTGCTGACACTGACCTGAAAAGACATCATCTCGAAACTTCGACACATCTCATCTTAAGCCGACAGAATCTCGACACTGGCAGACACAACCAAAGCTTCACAGCAGGCCACACAGTGTAGTATGGCTATGAGGTAGATGTAGAGAGAACTCAGTTGAGGAGCTGAAGATTGGACGCTGGACCTTCGAACGACCGTTTACAAAACTTTACGTTAAACCACTGCTACCTTTCTCATATGTGGGGCCGCGGGCCTCAAATTCAAATTCAGCTGCCACGCGCCATCAATGAAAATATCGACGGCGGCATGGCGGCTATTATTCAGGAGTAGGCTACTAGATGCTCGCGGCCGACATATGGGAAAGGTAGCCATGGTCTAACCTATTTAAATTTTTTGAACTATTTTTAAATTTTTATTACATTATTACTTCTTCAATTATTTGCCGCTCATTGTTCCGGCTCATTGGTTCTTCTACTCAATTGCTAGCCCTTGCATTTGAGTTCTGTTTTGTGGCTGCTCCAGTTCTGTCGATTTCACCAATCAGTTTTGCCTTTCACTGCGTCCTTTTCCTGGGGGTGACCAGAGGTACAAGAAGGGCTTTGCATGGTCAAAAGACTCAAAACTTGATGTGATTGGAGACTTACCCCCTTTCGGAGATATCGTCAAAACATTCAGATCTCCCAGCTCCTTACTTCCATCATAACCACCAAATACCAAGATGCGGCGATCGGAAAATGCACAGGCAGCATGATTCGTCCGGGCACAGGGTACACAACTACCACCAGTGGCATGACTGGGTAGATTGGACCATCGCACCTCTTCTTCTGCGCTTCCTCACAGCCCCCAGTGACCAGCAAGGTGCCATGAGACCAAGTTCCAAGTTCATGTCAGCAAAGCTGAAGGCTATTYTTTTCCCCCCCCCCCCCCCCCCCCCCTCCTCCTAATTTGGAAGCTATTATTACCAGCAAGGTG